GGTTCATCACGCTGTGGAAGAGGTTCCTCTGCTGACGCTGAGGACAAGGTTCCTCACCCTGAAGACAAGGTACCTCACACTGAGGACAAGGTTCCTCACGCTGAGGACAAGGTTCCTCACGCTGAGGACAAGGTTCCTCACGCTGAGGACAAGGTTCCTCACGCTGAGGACAAGGTTCCTCACGCTGAGGACAAGGTTCCTCACGCTGAGGACAAGGTACCTCACACTGAGGACAAGGTTCCTCAAACTGAGGACAGGTTCCTCAAGCTGAGGACAAGGCTCCTCACGCTGAGGACAAGGTTCCTCACGCTGAGGACAGGGTTCCTCACACTGAGGACAAGGTACCTCACACTGAGAACCAGGTCCCTCACACTGAGGACAAGATTCCTCCCGCTGAGGGCAAGGTTCCTCACGCTGAGAACATGGTACCTCACACTGAGGACAAGGTTCCTGAAGCTGAGGACACGGTACCTCACGCTGAGGACAAGGTACCTCACACGGGGGACAAGGTTCCTCACGCTTGGACAAGGTTCCTCAAGCTGAGGGCAAGGTTCCTCACGCTGAGAACAACGTACCTCAAAATGAAGACAAGGTTCCTCGTGCTTAGGACAAGGTTCCTCAAGCTGAAGACAAGGTACCTCACACTGAGGACAAGGTACCTCACACTGAGGACAAGGTTCCTCACGCTGAGGACGGGGTTGGTCACGCTGATGACAAGTTAGCTCACGCAGAGGACGAGGTTCCTCACACTGAGGACAAGGTTCCTCACGCTGAGAAAAAGGTTCCTCACGCAGAGGACAAGGTTCCTCACACTGAGGACAAGGTTCTTCAAGCTGAGGACAAGGTTCCTCACGCTGAGGACAAGGTTCCTCAGGCTGAGGACAAAGTTTCTCACGCTGAGGACAAGGTTCCTCACGGTGAGGACAATGTTCGTCACGCTGAGGACAAGGATCCTCACGCTCAAGACAAGGTTCTTTACGCTGAGGACAAGGTACAATCATGGAATTTAATTCGTAGACTTTTCAAAAATTTCTCAATTTCCCCCCTCCCCGTTTACAATGTTGGTTTGAAGTCCAATAACCATGGTTTGAACCAACATTGTGGTAGGGGAGGGGGGGAGTTACTATTTCTAGCGATCATGGACGTTTGTATTAACTAAAAATAAAATGGCTTTACAAAATAGTCAGACAAGATGCGTTTTAAAAAAGTCTACGGATATTATTTCCATGATTGTCTAAATTTAAAGACAAAAATTGCGGGGGGATATTTGAAGACGCGGTGTATAAATCCTCATTAAAGCTCTAAAGCATGGCTGATTCTACATGTTATATTGAATATTTATGGTTTACTTGATAAGAGTTTATGGTATTACAGAGAGATAATCAAGAAACTTGCATCATACACAGTCTGCTTTTACTTCAACGGGAAATCTCTTCAAATAATATAATAGCTCGTTACGTAATAAAGACTCTTTCAAGCATACACCCAAGGTTTTAAGGAAAGATTTAATAAATGATCCACTGCTCCATACAATAAGCCTGTATTTACAAAACGTAATTCTGCGTAATGACTGATGTATATAATATTTGAAAGTTAATAATTAAAAGTTAATAACTAACGCATTGTCGTATATTTTATGAGGGGGATTCAATTTTTTTCCGTCAACCGAAATGTTGGAGGTAATAGACCTAACTGATTGCAGTGACTATTTCACTAACCTCTATATATTACATATAGGACAAGTTACTGCATGTTACTACATGTTACTGTTCATGTTACTATAAGTGTACTACATTTTTACCATATAATTCTTTAAATAGATTTTTCGTATGGTACCACGTGTTACTGTACATGCTACTGCACATGTTCCAATCAATTTGTTATATTTTACTACATAATTTCAACAAGTTACTACATGTTACTGCTGTTTTCTATAAAAATGGAAGCATGTACTTTATATAAAAAACAGCAGTAACATGTAGTAACATGTTGAAATTTTCAACATGTTGCTATGTGTTACTGCTGTACATTATATAAAGTGTACATACTTCAATAATTATAAAAAAAACATCAGTAACTTGTTCAAATTATATAGTAAAATATAATATATACATAGTAACATGTGCAGTAACATGTACAGTAACATGTTGTAACATGTGCAGTCCCTATTTAAAATTTGTTTATATCATATCTCACACTCTTCCTTCTATGATAATTATAACGATTTACTGTTACAACGAAATAAGCACTACTCTGTTACACAAGGATTACCGAACGTGGTATGTTGGAGTGTGACACCCCCCCCCCGCCTCCCCCCCCCCACACCCACTTCTTAGAAATCTTGTCGGCAAAATGGAGATTATGTAGGAAAAACCGTGACCTGTTGGCAAATTAGTTGGTAAAATAGAGTTGGTTGGTAATGCGAAGAGGATGT